TAAATGTGCATGTGTTCAATTATAAAGTACTTTAACAGCTGATTCAAATTAGTGAAGGAGCAAAACAGAAGAAGATGGGTAAAGGTTGTGTATTTAATAAATTCCTTTGACATGACCTTCAAATCCTGTGCCCTTGGGCTATTTGCATGACTGTTCTTTCCTGCTGTGGAATACTACTTCCTTCAGTGTACAAAGTTGACTGTCCAGCAGGAAGATTGTTGTGGAAAGTAAAACTGGAGTCAGCAATAGCTTTTTTTAGTTTCTCAGGAGCATGACATTTTCTTAAATATTAAATTTAATAGTTTATGCCATAATAATATCAGTCAGACTATGCATAAAAGCTGATCACCCAGGTGAACACTGAAGTAAAAGTAGGAAGCATTCGTTTTTTAAATGTAGATGTAGAAGCCTTTAAAGAACAGTCTGCCCACACTTACAATTCCATTAGATAAACAAAACCTCATACAGCAAGCAGCTCCGCATTATTTTCCTTTCGCCATGTATTGAATCAGAACCCTGAATACCATTTCCCCAGTACCAACAAAGAAAGAAATGATTCTTCTCCAAACACAAATCCCATTGTTACCATGCCCTCTAATGTTATCATTATCATTTAACAATAATTATGATAGTTATTATCAAAGCAGGAGAAAAGAGGCTGTTGTTGTACTGTGGCAAAAGGACTTGCATATTGCTGAAACCCTAAGAGGCCTTACACTTCTACAATCTGTTGTTTGCTATCAGAAATAAGTTGTATCCACAACTAGTCATACTCTCCAGCATTTTGACAGCTTTCAACTTCAGGGTTAAGAATGTTTCATCTTTACCATAGATATCACATCCATATACAATGTCATTCACCATGCTAATGGTCTCGCAGATCTCTAAAACACAACAAATAATGATATCTAAGAATTAAATGCTTTGCGAATGTTTATTGAGAATTTAACTGTAAGTTAAGAAGTTTTGTGTTAACCCTTATACACAGTATCCAAATTTATCCAAAGTTAAAAGAGGAACCAGCCCTTGGAAAGGATGAGGCCTTTCTCATTAATGAATTGGAAACAAAGCAATGCTATTTAAGTAGCCTGAGATTTGAGCCGTGACAATTAAGCATCATTTAGTAATAGAAAACCATTTGAAATGATAGAAGGATATCATGATGAGCTTGGCAGACGATCTTCTTTTGAAAATGTTAATAACTCTAAGATTATCCGAATAAAGACAATGGACTTTTCTCTCTAATTATAACCCCAAAGATATGCAGCAACAAAGATTGGGTATAATTAAAAAATTGCACAAGACTTCTGAAGGCAGTATAGAAGATAGTGCAGAAGGTTAATATGCTGTAAGCCATTAACCTCGACAGACTCCATAGTAAGCAAAAAGGTTGGTTGGAAGTGATCAGTTGAATGTTGAGATGCCATGGAAACGTCAATGGTAGGACATCTGCTGTCTGAGCTGAAGACAGGATGCCTGGTAGACCTGTGGCCAAGAAGGCGACATCGGGAGCAGCAAGGCCAAAAGGGAGGAACCCAAGGCCAAGGTTATAAATAGTGTTGGGTTGTGTTGGACATAGGGGGTAGTAGCAGCAGGAGGAAAGCCAGACTGCTGACTGAGCTGGAGGTAGGATTCTGGACAGCAACAGGAAATGAGAGCGAGGAACTTGTGGCCAAAGGGTCCAAAGGTGTTGGGCCATTTTGGAAGCCAGAGTTACAGATAGAAGGAATGACATGAAAGATATGAAAAAGTTATAGAACTCATGCTGACTGACCGGAGGGAGAACCCCAGGGAGATTTGGGCAGAGTAGATGGCAACAGGACCAGCAAGGGCCGAGAGGGAGGAAACCAGGGCCAAGGGTACCAAAGGTGCTGTGTTTCTTCAGTGCTGGGAGCCATGAATAGCAGCAGAAGAGAGCACAGAAGAAAGATTAAATTAGAACAGCAGGAGCAGGTATAGCAGAGAAACTAGCAAGAAAAAAGAGAGATTGTAATGAAAAGAGAATGTTAAGAGCAGAAACAGGGAGCAGGGTGGAATGGAAGCTGCAGGGTGTGGGGGGCAGCAGCAGAGGTATCCCCAGGGAATCCTTTCAGTAAATGTGTGTCTAATTGTGTGCTGGATGATACCATCACCGGAGGCGGAAATATGATGGATGACTAAAGCTTACTTGTCATGCACCTCAGAGAGGTGAAAGAGAAAAAAAAAAACTTCCTTCAGTGTATTAATTTTGAAAGAAATTCAGTGATTACAGGGAGTCTTGTGAGACCTTGCTAGAGTCCAGTTTTTGATACAGCAGTAATGGGAGATGCAGGGGAGCCACATGGCAGACAGACACTGATCATGAGAAGCCAAAGACTCTTGCTCAGGTCTGAAGGTTCTTTGTCAGATCAGCAGATCTGAAGATCCATAAAAAAGAACAATATTTAGAAATGTGTAGCGATGAAGTAAAGTGTTTTCCCTTCTGCCTTTTAAGTTGTTTTGTTGGTCTGTTTTGAAAAGTTACACAGAGGAATATGTAGAAGCCTTCCTTCTGTCTTTTTGGTTGTTCAAAATGTTTTCCCCAATTGTAAGGAGCATGATCATGTACAGTATGAAGTAAATGAGAAAGAGGCAAAATATTTTTTCTTTCCTCCTGTCTTTGTTGTTTGGAGCACGATCCATGTGTAGATTAAAATGAGACAAAATGTGAAGAGGTGTTTGTTTGAGATGTATAGTATATACAGTAGGGAATTCAGTTATAATTCGGTTATAAAAACTTCCATTTAACATACGCCCAATACTGAGTCCCCCAACCCACATCCTTATTAGACTAAATTATTTTGCACCCTGAGTACATTTTCTATAATGTTTTCAACCACCAGGTCTGCAACGTTGCCATGGATACCCAAGGTGGGACCAAGTTATGCAAATCAATCCCATTCAAATCCTGCGAATTTTGTTCAAAGCAATAGGTGGCTCTATGACATTTAGACTTTTTGTAAACTATGCAGAATTCTCTGGCTGTGGTGGATATAACTTCAGACTGATAAGTAAGGATGGTCTGCACTAAAATGTGCTTTATCTTTATCCAAAATTATAAATGTGACTAAATGCATCATGGCTTGGGCGTGTTCCACAATCTTTTCACAAAGGGCCTTTTGCTGTTTTTTCAAAGCGAATCATGAGACTCCACATCCAGGGTTGTTTTGTTTTTATGCTTTAAGGCTATTCTTACTGGGTTTTTTTTTTTCATGACATGTGAAGGTGCCAGTATTATGCTTAGAGGTCCAGGAGTGTGAACTGCCTAAAGTTTCTCTAAATCTGCAAGCTCTGGCACTAATTAAGCAGAGCTTTTAACCACATATCCTAACATTCTGTTTGCTTTTCTAATTGCTTAACCACATTGTCTAGAAGATGTAAACATAAACACCTTTTTCAATATTAGTTTCTTCTTGCTCAGTGCTTCCCATTTTACTTTTTGTCACAAGTTTGTAAAACCTTGCATTTCCCTTCATTAAACATAATCTGTCAGGTGTTTGCCCTCTCTTAACTTTTACCTAATTTGTAGAAAATTCAATTTCCTTCTTCTGCTATTTGCTAATCCTCCTTCTTTGGTATAATCTGCCACCCTGACTAGTTTACTGAATATACCACATCTAAATTGAAATAAATCAAGAAGAACAGTGATGTTAATTTAGATCCCTGTAGCAATCTAATTACTTCACCCCATTTGAACATTCACTTGATAGCAATATTCTGTTTAATTAAATATAATCCAATTCTCAATCACAATCCCAACCAAAAGGTTTCCTTAAATGTCTACCTACCTTAATTTGAGATTTATTTTTTATGAGGAATTTTGTCAAAAACCTTCTGAAATCCCAAGTACATCATATCATATGCTCTGTGTGTATCCATTACTGTTTGTGTTTGTTCAAAGAGCTCTAGTAAGTTGGTTAGGCAAGACTTACCTTATATAAATCCATGCTGATTATTCCCTAGACTCTCATTCCCACATAAGTGATCCTCTTATTTACTTCTATTAATTGTTTCCATAAACTTAATAGTAGTTAGACTAACAGACTAATGTGAAAGTAGCTATTTATTGCCCTACTTTGTTCAGTTATGTCACAGTTCTTCTGGATCAGTACTACATTAGGAACTTACCAGTCAATGGGTACTACCAATATTTTAATCAAAGTTAATCACAAATTAATCACATTTATGGGTGAAAGAAGTTAAACATCAACAAAAACAACCCAAATTGTGAATGCTAAAATATGTGTATTGCTTAATTATTCAACTGTCTTAGTTAAACCTTAGTTCTGTTGCATAAAATACTTTGATTAGTTACACAAGTAGTTGTATGGCCTATAGCTGTGTGTAATAATGGTTCACAATAACAGTAAGGTCTCTCTTTTAGTAAAAAAAGGTTTAACCTGAAGTCTGTGGAGCTTTCAAAAACATTCAGAGATATACTGAATATACTATACTGTATAATATAGTATACTGTATACTGTAAAACTATACAGTAAATGCTACCCAAACTGTGTTTCTGTTGACAGACACTTTGTCCCAGAACAAATAAAAGAGCAAATCACAGCACTCATCTGGTATTTGTGTATCTTTTTTAAATTTACTTTAGTAATAACATACCCCCTTAACTAAACCATGATAATAAATCAAAGTCAATTAAATGCATTAGGTAGAAAGAATTTTTATGGAATAAGAGCATTTTTGCAAATTAATTCTAGAACTTTGGCTCACCAGTTTGCCTAAGAAAACACAAAAAAAGGTAAAAAAGCCATACAGTAGTTTTAAGGGTAATGATTGGGGTACAGAGGTATACAAAGTAACAGAAACAGAAAAGACATTGGCAGATTTTAAAATCCTTCCAGAAAAGGACATGTGCATTGGAGTATATTTCTTCTTAAATGTACAAAATATAAAACTTGCAATATTGCTACAGCAAGACCGATATGGCCTGTTCCCTTAATGGTAGAAGTCAGTGAATTACATACCGTGATTTATCAAAGACCATGTGTTTTCAATGTCTTGCGCTGAGGGGAAATGGCCACAGTCTCTGAAGAAATTAGGCAATTCATTTTTGTCCATCTCTTTCCAAAACTCCCTTTTTGCAAACATCTGTTCATACACTTGATGAAAGGAGAAGCGTAAACATAATTTAAAACATACAAATCTAAATAATTTGCATTGTCAGATGATATCCCAATTATTAAACTCTCTATGACTAGCTTTATTATAATTCAACAGCTTGTCTGAGAAGTGTTGTGGAAAACCTTATTTGATACTTGCTTGTTTTTCTATCCAGCCATTGTTCCAGTTCCATGTACACAAGTGGCACAGAGAGTTTTTTAATACCAAAGCGTCTTTTCAATTTCCGCATCATTTGATAGTATTCCTTCACAACAACTGTAAGAGATGGTCCATGACTAAGGGCCTGCAAAAACAGATTTGAAAAAATATTTAGACTATACAAAATGTTTCTGGACTAAAAATATAATATTTAGAAATGTATAATATTCCTAAAAAAGTAAAATATTTAGTTTAACAACATATATTTGGAAAAAAAACATGTATGGCACAAAATATTATAACATAGAGGACTTTACAACCTAATGAACTTAAGTACAGTTAAGTTTCTCTTCCTTGTGGGTCTACTACAGGATAGTATTGCTTTACTTGTCAGACGTTTAATTTGTACCAGTAGCTGGGTGAGTGCCACATTGATATAAATGTATTTTAGGAAAACAAAATACTCAAACACTAGTCTTTTTTTTCTGCTTCAGCGCTAAAAGAGATAGTGACACAAAGGTAAAACACAAGATAGTGACAAAAGATAGGAGATTAAAAGTCATTGCCTTTGCCCGAATCCTGTTGAGTTGTGCTCGTGTTAGCCAACCACGAATGTGCTTCTGAATACAAATTGCAGCTCTTTTAAAATCTCGACTGGAAGGTCCAGTTCTCTTTGGATGAAAGGCATCATAGACTTCCAGATGAGGACCAACTCTCTTCAGCCTTTCCTTTGTTATTTGTCTGAAATGCTGAAGCCTAAAGCAGTCATTTCAGCAAATAAAGGTTATGTTAGTAACCTTAAAAATGTTTACCATTCTTAAATAAAAAGCAGTGAATGTAACACATAAAAAGTCAGTATAATGAGAGTAGGTGGAAATACATTTTCTTTTCTCCTGAAGGTAAAAAGGTTAAAATTCAAGTGCATTTTCCACTCATTCTCTATTAATAATAATTGAGGAATTCTCTTAATAGTACTAAACTAAAACCTTGAAAATGTTTTTGTGGAAAGTGAAGTACAATTTAATGATGTTAGGATAGGTGTATGTAGGTTATGAAGTAAATCAAGGTCACTGTCAATGGATTAAAACTGCATACATTTGCTGTGATTTTTTTCTCTGTTCTTGCCTGCGAGTGTTATCAAGCATCTTCTCTTCCTTTACAATATCCATCCACTCCCTTAGCTCCCCATTCTGTCTTCTGTTATAAATAGAGGAAAGCTGCCATCTGTGCGCCTTCAAGCTCCTAAAGGAAAATATCCCGACACCACGACAAGCTTTCAAAAACAATCAAACTGCTTTTAGAGAATACGAGAATACTCAGGGCAGTGAAGCAAAAACAGCAAAGATTTTCCTCAGCTAAAATCAGTGGCACTGAAAGGCTTGACAGGATTGGAAAAACTGCAAACTACATCATTTGCAGAATCAGCAGTAATCTGTTAACTGAGGTTTTATGAAACTAACCAAAATAATTTTGGGAGGAGTGGTAGTGGCAAAATACTACAAGTTTTATTACTTACTATGTGTATGTAAGAACTTAAGATAGGTTATTAATGATAGGAGGACATTCAGCCTATTTATCCTGTATATGTTTTGCATGCACAGGATGTTGTAATGATCTATTGTTTTTTAGTTACTGCAAATCTTCTAAATCTACTGAAATACCATTATTATTAATAGGGGTCACAGAAGGAAGAGGGAGATTTTGTTCTAAAAATTTAATCTGTTACATTTTTACTACTTCAGTGGTATACTTGTCAAATAGAACACATACAATATATACACTGCAATGTTGCCAGATGTGTTTTTACAAAATAAAAATGTGAATAAGTATGAAAACAAAGCCTACAACATAAAAAGTAAGGTACTATATTTTTGCAATTTGATGCTAGTTTTTAACTCCACCTCAGACACTGATAAAAAAGATTCAAGATGATTGTAAAGATTCAATGATTTCATAGATGGAACATAACAGTAGGTCTATTGATTCAGTACCAAGAATATGATAGAAATCTGAAAAAAGTTTATCAAATATTTACATTTATCCAAAATATTTTAAATGAATTGTGTAATGAAAAGTCAATTAATACATACAAAAACAAACGTAATTCTATATTAAATCTGTATTGATTTAAAAAAGTCTACATAAATGCTGTGTGTTGGAAGGGGTTGGTTATGTGGGAAGAATTAGTTCTGTGACTGAGAAAAACATGCAATGGAATTAAATATACAGTAATGGAAATTTTCAAATATATTTTCCTGTATTTACCTTTTCCTGTACAGAAACAAAAGCATGCTCTGCTAAGCCATCTGGATGCAAGAAACATGTGAAAGAGTCTTGGATATCCTACAGCAGAATTAAATCCCTTATTTCCATCCTGTACAAGTAATCTTAGTGGTTTTATGAATAATTGCAACATTAACCTGTTTGATGGGTGAATGTACAAGTAATTTACCATATGTTAAAGATACATCAATAAAGGCAAATCAACAAATCTATTAAAAAATAAAACATAAATGAGAATGGTGATACTGCGTTAAGAATGTTCCATTTGCATGATTACGTGTAATGCAATTTTAAGAATTATTATAATGTATAGCACTTTTCTGTACACCCCACTCAAAGTGCTTTACAGGTAACACCCCTACTCCTTGTGAGAAGCACCCTGTAATTTTTAATGACCTGCCCACTTTCCTGCCCACTTCTTTGCTCTGGTATTGTACAGTACAATTAGATGTACTGTATATACTGTACATCCCAATTAGAAATTTCTGATGACAACCCCTGTACTTCCACAGAGAAGGAGACATGTAGACACCCACCTACAAAATAATTATTTGACATGTTGCAAGCTTTGTAATATCTGACAGAGAAGTTAAAAGCTAGACTCGCACATCTCTCACTGATGTCATTGTAAGCCTGTAGGCACCCAGCAAATCATGGGAAATGCTGTTTGCTGGAAAGCTGAGAGAAAGCCCTGGCCAGCTAAATTTGATCCTGTCGTACTGGTGCTCTGCCATTTGTGCTCAGAAGCATGACCCAGATACAAACTACTGATGTCTGCTTCATCAAGTCCAATTATTTCTCCGAGGAAGAGTTTTCCCTGGAGCACGTATAGCATTTTGCCAACTTTTTAATCATACATTAGCTCCAAAATAATGAAAAGCTGAAACTAGACAAAGTCATAATTAAACGCTTTATTGTAGTAATACAGTACCTCAGTATTACAAAAAAAAACATTTTCACTTTTACCTCTGGAGAGTGAATGTTTGTTCTTTCTTCTCTAGCGGCAGGTCCCTATTTTCAGAAATGGTTATCTTTTCTGCCCCAGGAGTACCAGACTCTTCGAAAATGCATTTGCTATTAACACTTGAAACAGTGTTTTCATTTAGCATTATTACTTTTAACTGAGTATCCTAAAAAAAACAAATCACCATTAAGGCATATTAACATTAATTGATAGCTTAACATACTGTACCTATCTTAAATATACAGTAGGGCCTAACATAAAGATCTTGATATACAAGATCCACGCAATACCAATGCAAGTGATCAGTTATTGGTTCCATTTCTACAGATGAACATCGATGGACAGCTGAACAGAATCAGAGTAACCTGTTCTTACTGCTTAATGATCATTATGAGTCAAACCAAAACATTTTATGGCACTAATAAGAATATTAAAGCTACTCAACAGCATTGGATACTGTAGGAAATGTCCAACATTGTAACCGTTTGGTACAGTAGGTCCACAACAGTGACTGACTATTTTGAACTAAAAAATGATAATACTGTTGAAAAAAAGCCAAAGCCTGGTTATTACCATAATTATCATATGTAATTACATACAGAACATGCATTTAAAAAATCCATGTGTAAAAAGTGCCTTAAAATTAACTAATAATGGTAAATAAAGAAAATAAAAAAATAATATACAATAATTATATACTTTACAGCATTTTACATAATACTCCCAATTGGTTATTAATAGTTCTATGAAAACATCAGAAAACTAATGTTCTGAAATTGCAAAAGCAGTGTCCTCCATTAAGTGTTCTTCATCTTGATCATGGGTGTCAAACTAATTTGTTATAGTGGGCCAGATATTTATTTAAAGTTACTTTTGCAAGGGCTAATGACACCAAAAAATTAAAAGTGTTTGAGGATGTTTGGTGATCACTTGCTTCAAAACATTTTTTTTTCAAAGCCAGCTTGGCAGAAGGCCAGCCCTTTAGCCATAGCACTAGACATCTGGGACCCCCATGCAGAGTGAGGAGTTAACCAAGGGGTAGCAGCAAGGGTGTACATGGGAATGAAGAGGGATTCATGAGGCAAAATTTGGAAAACGTACTGTAGAAAGCAGGGAGTTTGCTTGTTATATACAGAATACAGTATCTTTTAGGAACTACGTTAGGAATGATGATTTAGAATAGAAGGGGCTGAAAGATTTGGTTATTGTCATTCCCCTTGAACCTCTGTTAAGAATCTCCATTTAAGTGGATTACATGGTACAATAAATTCTCAAATTATTTGGCATGACAGTTAAACAGCATTATATATTGTATAAGTTATTTGCACTCTAACATGGACAAGCATAGGGGCCACAGTAAGTTTACCACCAGCTGCTGTAATTTCATTAGTGTGGCAACCCATGGAAAATGCTACTGTACGTGTGGTGTGCTTCCTTTTTCCTTCCTACTCTGTCAATCTAATTCATGCCTTGTACACTGCTCCTCTACACACCTTTTGCAACGAGTATCAGTTCATTGACACCTTGAAATCTGCCACCAACAACGCTGATTTCATTAGTGTTAGGCAAAACTGTGAGGATATAGAGATGTACATTTAGGAAGGTACATTTACAGTACTTCGTACAAGCATATGCAGACCTGAAAACAAAAACATTTCTTTCTTGGTTTTGTTTTTCTTTGGTTTTCTACTAGGACAAGCTGCTTGTACCTAGAGAAACATCTTTTTACCAATTGTTTTGGGCTGTAAGGGGTAAGCCTGGTTGCTGTGTTAGTGTTGAAAGATTGTCATATTGACCTTCTGGTCCGAAAGTGGTTTTATGTGGTGAGAGTAGGCCTGTTCAACTGGTAAATTTAGGCTGTAATTGTCTTTTTTGAGATCTCTCCAGTGTGTAGTTTTATTTGAAACTTTTTCTTTTTAAATTGTGAAATATTTTTTCTGAATCTTGCAAGATTGTAGGACAATTTTATTAGTGAAGAGAGATTGGTTTCCATGCATTTGAGGTGTTTTTTAATATATCCTAGAGAAAATATATTTTGTGGGTTTGAAACTTTGGGTTTTGGGAACCCATCGAAAAAAGAGAACTTAGTTTTCTATATAACATTGGGAGGCACAGCTGGGTTGATTTTGCCTCTTTTTTATTACAAGCTACAGTGTATATGCTACAGCAGTGTTTTGTGTTTTGGGCTTTTATTTTTCAACAACATACTGTACACCCCCTTCAGTATTCATAAGCAATCATTGCATTTTCACCGCCAATTTAGCATAATTTACTTATTATATTTTGAGTATGGGATGTTTCTATCACCATTAACCACAATTATTTAAAATATTGTAGCGCTTTTGGGTTCTCGGAGGTATACGCCCTCGTCACTGCTGCCTCAGGTTGGCCCCCCCACAGCTGGGGACTCAAACCCAGGCCTCTTGCGTTGCTTAACAGGGAACCAGCCAGCTGAGCTAAAGGGAGGACCTACCTGAGGTGGCAGCGGTGAGGGCCATACCCACGTGAACCCGAAAGCGCTACAATATCATATTTATGATTATTGTACACTACATAAATTTACAGTACAATAATACATATAATTAACTATATTTATATACAGTATAATATACAGTAAATCAATTATAACTTGATTTATGAATTGTTGCTGCTTTTATGCTACTTCCATTTTATCTCATTTAGTGATTTTTATGGTTTTATTTTAAAATAAATTTGGTAAAGTATGTTGCAAATACTTGTAGTGTTGCAAAATCAAAGAAAATAAGGTCATTATTTCCCCTGTATGTAAAACTTGAAAAGCATGATAATGGTAAGCTGTCAAAAAAGCATTTGCATTGCTTTGAACATAGCTGAGCTGTGCCATTTTACAATTTGTTTCTTGTTAACTACTGTACTGTAAAATTGGATAAATATCTATCGTAGATACACAATGGTGTTCTTATTTTGACAATTTTGTAACAATGAGTAATACTGTGTAATTTCCTAGATATCAAGAATGAGTCATAAGCTTTTGCAAATAAAGGAATGGGATTCATTTTCATTATTCAACATTTCACATTACAGTTTTGAGGAAATAAAAAACTAAAACCAAGAGATGGGTGTATACAGTATGTGTCAATCAGGAAACTGTAGGATTGAAGTGCAAATATTATACATACTGTAGGATTATATCTTATATTTAGGATTATTAACCTGCATTACCTGTGAACTAGGGACTTGTGGTACTGATAAAACTAATCTGTAATAATTAATGAAAAATAGCTTGTCTTGTTTCATAATTAGCAGTTTTAGTATTTTGACTTTGAAATAGAAATGGTAAAAGGGACATTGCATGACAAGAAATAAACCAAAATGCTGAACCCTATCTGCTAGTTATTTGCAAGAAGAAGCAAAAAAGTCACTTCTACAGCTAATATAAGTGATCTTTGGGAAGCAGTTGCCTGTTGTACAAATCAAACATAGCTCATCAGCTTTCCATCCCCTTCTACAAGAGTAATCAATGTCTCCACTTCTCCACAGAACAATATTCTATTTTTATTGTCAAACAAAATTACAATGTCCTTATTACTATGTTAAAAATACCATATTGAGACTATAAAAACACTAGATACTAGGTACAGTTCCCGAGCTTGCTACAAAATTTAGAGAAAGGGATTATGATCAGTAGTTATAGTCTTAAATCCTTGTGTTGATTAAAGCTGTAATAAATATATGGAGTTTACTTAACATACATTTTTGGGGAGGTCAAATTATAACTTTATTCTTACTCCCTCTACATATACAGTAAATGCTCCCTGGTTACAGACCTTTTCTAGCATTCAGCGTTTTGTGTCTTGTGAGAAACAGATGTTTCACATTCAGTATTACTAATAATTTACTGTATCACATTTATCTCTTACAAGCCATGACTGTTGTTGCTTTCTTGCCCGTTCAACCTCAAACTCTTCATTGGAAAACATGCAGCCCTGCTCCTGCCATGTCTGCTTCCTTTCTTTCAGGTCTCCTGATGTTGTTACCTCTCCCCAGAAGTCCTAACAGCTACTGTTATTTTGCTTCCCCTTCTCCCTTCCTTTTATTTCTCTTCACCTAACCCCGCTCACTTACAGTAGCTCTCCCTCCTTCCCTTTTTTCTGTCTGGTCAAGCATTTAACCCACCATATCCATGGCCCCAACTTTCATTGGTTCCTCAATCCCCTTTCCTCAATCCTGCCAGTGCTGCCACCTGTTCCAACACCAATTATCCTACTGTATGTGCTTTTCATTCACTACATAACCAGATCCGCTTGATCAAACAGAAACAAGACTGCATCATTGTACTCCTTATTAGTTCCATGCTTTGTACACATTTTGCTCAGTTCCTGTGAAATTTTGCTGCTGAGCTGACTTACTCTTAACTCTGTTTTTGAAGTTTGCACTGATGTTTTGTAGACCATTTTGTGGGTCTGTGACAAAGATGATCTTCAGCTAGCACTGTCAGTTCATCAATTAATTAAATAAAATTACTTATGTCATTCAAGGACTTAGTGAAATGTAATAAAGATGTTTCAATGTAATTTACAAAATATTAAACACAATATGACCACATACAGTACATACAATTCAAAGTCTAAACAGTAAACAACTTAAATTCTATAATTGGAAAGAGATTGTCCCTCAGCATTGACTGATATTCGAAACCAGGCATTTTCTGGCAATAGCCCAAATGCTCCAAATGCCACGTTAAGCTTTCACTGCTCCACCTTGCAGTTTTACAAAGTAGTGCAGCCCCTGAACTGCAAACTACTGCAGTATCCTGAGTGCATTCTGAATGGCTGGACCTGTACATGAACAGTACACATTGTGTGTAAGTGGGGTAGATTGTGCAAGCATCAAAGTTTGTGATCTTGCCTGTTTTTTTTAATAGTGCTATTAAATAACATCTGCTAACATCTTTAATAAGAAACATTCTTACAAATCATAATGGTAAAAATTCATTATAGAATACTGCATTTAAAACCATGTCTGTAAATCACTTTTTAATTACAGCCATGTACCATTTTTCCATGATTGGTTGGTATTACCATACACATACTGTATGGGTTAGAATCGCTTATTCATTAAAAAAGCAAAGAGACCTCCATTACAAAAAAACCTTTCTGTACAGTTAAAAATCATGGAATAGCTCGTAATAGCTTGGCTATAATTGAGTAGAGTACTTACTTGGTTTTTAGTCTGAAGGTAAGTAGCTACAGACTTTCCTGTCATTATGCTTCTCTTTGTACTCTGCTTAATAGCTCTTGTATTTGTTTTTCTTATCACACTGTTCCCCTTGCAGAATTCAGGAATGCATGTTTTAATAGTTGATATCTGTGATACATCTTGGAAAAGTTCTTCAGTACTGCTTTTTGCATTTTTGCTATTGTCTTTTCTCCAATCATCTTCAATATGACATAGATTATCCTTGTGATTCCTTGTTTCTTCTGCAGTAATGTTCTCCCAGACTTGCCCAGTCATCTCAGGATGTTGATTATCACAAAGGATCTTTTCATCTGTAGGAATTGCATCTTTGGCTTCAATACAACAGTCTGAGCCTATTACAGATGATGACATAAAGGAAGGAAACTGTACTTGCTGCTCAATCACTTTCTGCCAGGGCTTTTTTTCTGTGTAGGTTTCAGTTGATATTACTTTATCCATGGGAACAGTGTTGCTCATATTGTCAAAATATTTGATTTCTTGTGACAAAGACTTAAAATCTCCAGAAGAAAGTGGTGGTCTTTTTGGTCTGTCATTCATAAAATTGCTGTTTTTTTCACAGGACTCTTCTGTTAAGGATTTGCTTTCATGAGGTAGTGATACAATCTGATTTTCAGTTTCAATGCTGACTCCCTGGGAAGCCTGTAATACAGCCCTGCCATTTTTCATCTTTTCGCAGCCATGAGCTCCCATGCCCAGCAGCTTTGCCAGTTCCTCAGAGTTATCCATATTGCTCTCAGATGCTGCCTCAACTTCAAGTTCATTGATATTGCTCTGTGAGTTACAGGAAAAATCCAAAACATTGTTCTTTTCACCCATTTTGCTTCCATTAAATAACTGTGGACTTGTTTCTCTTTTTAAAGTCACGAGGCTAAACAAAAGAGAAAAAAGGAACGCTTAAAATTTGGTAAAAGAAAACATTCTTTCACACATTAAGAAAAGCCTTTCTTAGTTAATCTATACTAATGCCCTCCTGTCAGATTTTCCACAATAAATATGAAAATTTGAGTTGGTTGTTCAAAATTAACCAAAGAAAAGGGTAAGTTAATTGTTTAAGGATGCAAAAACACCAGAATATCTACTGTATATACACATTTATTTTATGTTGCAGTTATTGTACAGTATATGCTGTATTAGTATACTGTATGCAATGGCATAGAGTGGTGGGTAAGCCTCTAGTTGCATCTACAGTGGGGACTTGACAACATTGAGCTCTGGCTCCATGAGACACTGTGCTCTGGTTTGGTCTATGTAGTATAATTACAGTCACCTGAACAATTTTAATCAAGTAGAAATAGATAGGAAAGAAACAGTACAAATCATAGAGCTATGTCAAACTTTATGAGCCTTCTCAAGAGAAAGTGCTTAACAGTAGACAAATATTGTTAGATTTTTATTGCAAACTTTCCCGATGAAAATGTCCCCCTGCCACCATACTGTATAAGTACTCAGTGCTGCATGTACAGTAACTCTAGACATTTGGTCACTCATCTTTGTCTTCACTATATGGTTAAACTACAGTTGATCAGTATGCACAACTAAGGCATTTGCTTTAGAACTGTTACTTTTATTTATTTTTGCCTTTTTAGTTATAGATTACATATGTTTATAATCAGTCTCATGTTAAAAATGTAACATTCACTCACAAATCATTCTTTCAATACAATTGTTCCAGTGAGTTATACTGCATATAAAAAATACTTTTTTATGACACCCATTCTTATTATATGCACTTACAGTTCATGAAGTGTACAAAACTCATTATTTATATTTGTCTGTTTCACAGACATTGCTTTATGGATATGCTACATGTTGTGTAATTGTTATTAGTTAATTATACAATTTACCATACACATCTTTCAAAATTTGCAAACCTGCTGAGACTTATTTAACTCCTGTCTTCTACTGCAAATCCCTTAGTATGCTCGAGATACTGTAACTAATGAGGCACGACTGAAATAGAACATCAGGTAATGGGACAACTTCAACTCTCCAATACCTAGAAATCCATTACGATTCTTCCTTTATTTTTTTTTAATCATTTATCATTTTTATCATTAAAACAAAACATTTGCTTTTTTCATAGGCTCAATTAAAAAGATAGAAGCTTTATAAAACAAAATACATCATTTATTTTTTGCTTTGTTCCAATGTAATTGATAACAGGATCTGACTAAATAAGACCAACAAATATGAGAAACAGTATGGGTACTTGTACAGTATATTAACATTCTTAGATTTGAAATATAGCACAGTGAATGTACTGTATCTGTATCATACTGGAGCTCCTGGACACTAAATGATTTCTTTTTGCAAGTTAATCCCATAACACAGTTTGTGTCCACTGTAGGACATCTTTAAATCAAACATTAACTTTTGAACCAAAAGAATGTGCTATTTTGAAAACCAAATCACTAAGATTTGAATAACTCATACAGGTAATTATTCACATTTTGGAACAAAAGTAACATATTGCTGTTTTTTTTATAAATGCTGCAATCATCTTTGTTTGATTCAATTTGGAAAATCTCAGTCAACAACAGATAAAAATGAGTTTCTGCTGCATTTTGTACACCAGATACCTCCTGATTAATAATGTGCCTATAATAGGGAGAAGCTAGTAGTGATAGAAAGACAATGAGGTAAAGAACCTTGCTTCCAGGGAAACTCTCCCTGGTGTGCTCATCAGCCTGCCACTCTCAGGAGTCCTCAGGGGCTTTTTCACCTGCAATGACACTTGCATATATCAAATTATAGAGCTGAGGAAGTAGTGAGCTCAGCTTTGCAGACACTGCTATAATGTATACTGTTCATCACATAAATCTATACGGAACAAAAAAATTTAAAAAAATATGTTCGATAGATTATAAACAAGATTACAACAAAGGAAATAAACCATACTGAAAGAATGGAGCCCACCAAATTTAAACATGGCCTTCTTAAAAATGATTGTGACAGTGCAGACTTTTTTCATGTCGTGTTTTTTGGAACTATATTTATAAAGAACTCATAAAGCCAAGCTTCAAAAAAAGAAGATAAACTGAGGAAGGTAAAGCCAAATTTTCTAAATATTTCTGAAAGCTAGCTAAAAATGCATTAAACTCTTTTTATAAGTAATGTTCCATAAATATACTGTATAGATGGCATAAACTACATTTAAATAATCCTTTTTTTCCCTACGAGAAGGTTCAATTGTCTTATTTTTCACAATTTTACCTTTTACTTACAGTATATTTATTTTCATTCTAATATATCGATGTCATCCTCTTCTAATAATAATAATAATTGCCTACACTTATATAGAGCTTTACAGGTAATGGGGACTCCCCTCTACCACCACCAATGTGCAGCATCCACCTGGATGATGTGACGGCAGCCATAGTGCACCAGAACGCTCACCACACATCAGCTATCAGTGGGGAGGAGAGCAGTCCAATGAAGCCAATTCACAGATGGGGATTATTAGGTAGCCATGATTGGTAAGGGCCAATGGGAAATTTGGCCAGGTCGCCAGAGTTACACCCCTACTCTTTTCGAGAAACGCCCTGGAATTCTTAATGACCACAGAAAGTCAGGACCTTGGTTTTACGTCTTATCCGAAGGACGGCACCTGTTTACAGTATAGTGTCCCCATCACTATACTGGGGCATTAGAACCCACATAGATTGCAGGGTGAGCGCCCCCTGCTGGCCCCACGAACACCTCTTCCAGCAGCAACCTTAGTTTTTCCCAGGAGGTCTCCCATCCAGGTACTGACCAGGCTCACACTTTCTTAACTTCAGTTGTGAGTTACAGCATGATATGGCTGCTAGCACTAAAATATTCAATGTATCTCTTCAATGTATCAGTAGAATTTATTCTTTAATGGACATATTTTCATACTGTATTTCTTACATTGGCCAAAAACATGGCACGACCCTGGCTTGTTTCACTTGTCCCTTTTTGTCAGACCTGGAGTTTATAGATTTATATTTTGCTTAAGCTTAATTATTAAATATATTACTATATTAAATACCTTTAATCTATATTTAATACAGTCTATCATGTAGCTGGATTATTTGATTCTGTGACAGATCTTAGATGCAGTACAGCATTGGTTTATTTCTTAAAGATATTCCATAGGATTCTGCCAGATGAGTTGAGAAAGAGAGAGTTATTATTGAATCATGGTGTATTTTTATGGATATGTTTAAAACAGTCTATATTGTCCTTGTTTCTGGAATTCAGTAATTTTGTGTTTCCAGTTTCTGCTGTTTAAATATAAAATGAAAAAAATAACCCCACAATGAAAAAGTAAGAACAGTAAAACACACTGTTGGGTGGTGGGAGGAAATGGAGGAAATGGAAATATGAGTAAAAGGAAAGAGGAGAATGAGTAGGCGTAATTAAACTGAGAGTTGTGCAAGACAGCAATCTGTAAATGAATGATTAGATTAAGAAGAGATAATTCAGTCATTGAATGATCATTAGAATGTGTGAATGCATTTGATCAATTGAATCAATGGTATATGCTTGGTATGTGTTAACCAAATCTAAGACCAATTACTGTATGTCTTTATAGTAATAGTCTTTTATTCTCTGGGTAAGGTCAGTGTAGTCATGACATAGACAGTTAAAATAAGGAGCTCTTTTGTGTTTGGAGAAGTCCATATTGCTTTGCTGTGTTCCCTGAAAAGGTCAGACAGTTTTACTGATGTAAATTGGAGAGTACTCTATGCAAGAAATGCAATAAATAAGAATTCATTATGATGCATAGGATATTCATTATGATGCTCTTTGGATAATGATGAAATGTCTAGAGGGACCATGTATACAGTATACAGTATTATGTGTTCTGCTGGTTAGGTATTACCTTATTAGCAGGTGATACAACAGCTTCTACTGCAGTGACAAGTACCTTGCATGGATGGCAGTTGAATGGTCAAGATAACTCTGGACAAAAAGTTGTGTAGATTAGGTGGTATAAAATGATTGGTGGCTCCAGCAAGTGCCCTTATGTAAAATTAAAAAGATTTGCCTGATGGCTTTGGCTTTTTAGAAGGCCATTAAAAATAAGGTTGAAGCAGAGGGAAATTGGATGTTGTTCTACTGTAGGTTTGTGTAGCTGTTGTGCAGCTGATGATGTGAGGACTGTTTTGGCTCAGGTTAGAGCTTTGCCAACGATGTGTGAAGCACATCCCTTGGCAGTGTTAAAAGACTGCATTTAAAGTGATTATTTTCTGATGTCAGGCTCATCACTGACTTCTCAGTATGCATAAATGATGAGGAATTGAGAGAAAAAGTGTTTTAGAATATTTGGGATAAAAGATGCTACAAAGTAGGAAGCTATTTGAATCAGTTATTTAATATTAGTTATACAGGTTGAAAATCCTTTATCCAAAATTCCAAAATCCAAAAACCTTTTTTGGAATGCTGACATGACGCGCCACAAATGGAAAATTCCACAAAGTGCGGGATGGTTCCACCATGTACAGCTCTTGTGCGCTGATAAGAGTTTTCATTTTATTTACCTGTAATCATATTCAATGCTTTGTTTTTATACCTCACATAAAACTTAATACCTGTATAGAAAAAATTAAATACAAATGGCATACGTGTACTGTAACCTTTTAATCAAAACATGACATCGTAGGTGGAGACTAATATCTTACCTTTCTGATGGTATTATGTTTAAAAAATTATTACAATTTATATCAAACTACATTCAGGGTATTTGTATAAGCTATATTATAAAATGTAAATGGATATCGTGTTTAGACTTGGGTCCCATCCCCAAGCTGTTCCAATTTATAGATGCAATCAATATAAAAATATTCTGAAATCCAAAAAAATCCGAAATCCGCAACACTTTCGGTCCCAGGAATTTCGGATAAGGGATTCTCAACCTGTAATTTTAGAAAGATAAATCTAGGGCTTATATTCCTTTGAAAATCAATGTATTGGTGTTTTGTTTCCACTTGTGTATATCTGCAGAACAATACACAGAAATTAGCAAACTTCACTACAAACCACAACTGATCAAATGTTTAGAAATGTGTGCATAAATAATCTCTGAACTGTTAGCACTGCAAATTGTTTGAGTGACCTAAGCTGTCTTTGTGTGAATATTTTATTAGAGGGAGTTTTACCAAAGAAATGCTTATAAAATGCTTCATAAATAAAACAAATTACAAGTTGTCTCATTGCTTAATTAAAATTATATATTTTCACATTATATATATTTATTCACTTATCATTGAGAATAGAAAAAAGAACATAAAAGTGTAAGGGATGGAGTTTCTCAAACCTTGTTTAAATTTTAACAGTTCAGTATTTTAATGAAGTGATTTTTTGGCAAAGTTAGAATATTCACAAATGCATCCGTCAGACATTTATCCATTTCTTGTCAATAGCAGTCAGCCATTCAGTGTCACATTACCAATCACATGAAATGTCTTGCCTTAGCTGATTAGGTTAGGTCTTTGCAGCAGGAAGAGTATGTAATGCATATAATAGCACTGAGGCTGTGAAATGGGACATTCAATGCTTATCGATTGTCCTGAATATTCATTGTCTAGCCAAAATGTGATGTGTGCAACAATAATAACAATAATGCATGGAAGCCTGGTCATTCCTGAACATCAGTGGAGTGCCACATTAATAGCTGGCTGAACCCTGCTGCTGTGGATGTCACACTGAATTATGACACAAGCCCCCCTTGAAAAGGGTATCTTCAATTGAGTTTGTGATTCTTGGTAGTGAAGCATCTCGATTACATTCTCCAGTGATTTTGCCATAGTTTTCCCCAGCCTATTAGGAAAGCTGAGATTCACAATTCAAATGTATTTTATTTGCAATTGTACATTGTTTAAAGCCTTCAAATTGAACCAGGGATAAAGGTTCTCTTATCTCATACAGTATACACTGTAGCGATATTTATTTTGTGCATGAATAGAATAAATAGACTATACAGTATTACTATTCAGATTGCTATTCTACTTCCTAGGTTTTAGTAAAGTAATCCAGATGTTTTCCAGATAACAGTAATGTTAGTGGACAGGGTGTCTTAAAAAGATACTCCTCATAGGAAAAGGCTTATGTTAGAAATGTACAGTAGGTGTTGTGTTCCATTGAATTACAGTATGTTCCTTTTTAGTACCCTATTTTCATTAGTGAACTGAATTCATTTTCTGGTAGTTTTAGTTTCAATTCAGAATCAAAATGGCATCATATGATATAGATTTTTGTGTCCGTGGTTTGTTCTTTCAGTCTTTTGCTATGTTATACCCATTGCTGATGAAGTTTAGTAAGAACAGATAAAAAGAAACCTACTAGATAAATTAACCTCCATGAAAACAACTAGTCAGTACCAGCTTGATCTGCATTTCCTCAGGGTCAAACTCACAACTACAGATGACATACTGTATACTGTACAGTACAATAACAATGGCTTACAGTATCAGATGGAGCAATAATGAGGCCCAGTGCTCTCATGTGACATGCTACTGTATATCTGATAAAGAGTACATCTCTGTTAATATAGTGTATACTCCAAATACAACAAAATTCTACTGCTCACTTTTAAGGGGTTGGAAGATTTAGTTTGAAAATCTTAACTCCCTACACGGGATTTGTGCTCTTTGGTCTTTTTTCAGACAGATGAACCACACAGATGAACTGTAAGAAACTTTTCTTACAGTTCTGTTTTGCCAAAGCTGTAGAATGATCTTCTAGACATTAGGTCTGGCGAGTAAGTGAGCATTTTCCTCTAACTTGCTTTGAGTTCTGTAATTCATCATACTGTATTATTTATTTTAGGTATAGTTGATCTTGCAGTTATGACTCCTTCAAAACCGTTTTAGGTGAAAGAAGCAGCTGAATTTCTAATCTGTTTATACAATACAACCTTAGGGAAGTGTAGAAGGGTTCTATCAAAGAGTGTAGAAAATGTTGCATACTTATTAACTTTCTTTTGTGCACCTAAATATTTGCTGTATTTACTTTATACATATACATATTTACACATACAGTTACATACAGTTACATAAAATACATTTACATTAGTATTTACAGAGCATAGCTACTGTAATAAACTAAACAAAAAAAACTGAACACATTAATTACATTCAGGAAGGGTACGTAATTAATATGAAGCATATCTAGAAATCTAATCTAGAAAGTGCCATACCACTTGCTATACAAAAGAGCTAATGAGCTAAAGTAATTAAAAATTAACTTGCACTTTTTGAAAAGAAAACAGAATCAAGACTAATTTAGGCTAATTTAGAAAGAACAACTTTTGTTAGTTACAGTACATCTGCAGTTGTATATAGCTGAAAACACAGATTTTAATTTGTGGTTTATACTAATTCACAGTTTTACCTGGTAAAATCAAACTGTAGGATTTGATTTACAATATTATGAAAATCATCTCAAAAGCTGAGGGTGTAACAGAAGCTGTTAGTGTCAAAGCAATATTTATCTAGAAACTAGTTTAAATCGTTACATAAGTTATAGATTTAAAACACTATGGAGAAAGCTATGGGATGTATTATATCACATATGGAGATGGGAATATCACACTATTGTTAAGTATCCTATTTATAATACAACCCATGCATTATTTGTAATGGGGATAATTGGGGTAAAATGAGAGATAATTCCCCTGATTTTGATGTACTGATGCTGTACATAAAAAGGGGATTCATCTGTGACAAACCTTATGTTTTGAAATCTCCTTTGTAGGCGGTGTAACTTCATAAAACACTGATGTTACCCTTTTTTCTTGGAATGAGGACTCCTTTTCTGTTCCTTTTCTTAGAAACTTCAAAGACTCAGCAGGAATACTTGTCTTCTCAGCAGGAGGGGCTCTCAGAGAGCTTTGGGACATGAGGCCTCTCCAGTCACAGTATGATTTTCCTCCTGTTGAATTGAAAGAGTAGCTTCAGTACCCTATTCACTTGAAAAATCATTTTTGTTTCTTTTTCAGTCAAGTTATTTTTTGATGATTGTTTTCACTTAAGATACTTATTTTAACTATAAGGCTGAAAGTTACATGCAGTACCACCAGACATAAGCTGCCCAATTTCCCTTTTAGTAAATAAAATCAAGGTACAGTATATGTTTGAATATGTTTTGATAAGTTATAGAGATCATACAAAACTATGTAGAGACATGACTTCATTGAAGAATGCCTTTACCAAGTTTACAAAAATACAAAGAGATTTAAATACTATACTGTTCAAGCACATATATAGAAAGTATACAAATGGGATTTTTCACATCTCATTATGTTGCTAATTCAAACAGAAAAAAAGAAATGGGATTTTTTTGTCACTGCTCTTCTGTCTCTATAATGTCAAAGTGGAAAAAAAAGTGTGGATTTAAAAAAAATATATAAAACACTGATGTCTTAATTTGATAATTATTCACACCCTTTGCTATGACAATCCAAACTGAGCCAAGGTACATATAATTTCCTTGTAAGATCACTATAGATTTTGAATTAAGTCCACCTGTGGTCTGTTCAAATTAGATAACATGATACAGAAATATACATGTCTACAGTATATAACATCCCTCAGTTCACAGTGCACATCAGAGAAGACCAAAGAGCTGTCTGTACAACTTATCTACCTACCCCACAGGAACAGTGCTCTGACAGTGTTGAGTTTCCTTGAGCCAGGTAGTTGACAGTTAATTTTCACTCCAGCCAGTCTTTCTGTACAGCAGATTAATTCCAGCTGGTCCTACGGCACTGTTTCTGAATTGCCTGCTTAATTCCAGATGATCATTCAGCATCCCTCACAGCAGCTTCATTCCAGCCTATTCTACAGCACCAACTCTTAGCTGCTTCTGATCAGCTGGTCCACCTAGTCACTTGGCTTCCACCTCAAGCAAAACCCCTTACACAGTCCTGCTTATCTGCCTGCCTTTGCCTTCAGCTCCTCTCCGCTTCCACCACAACAGCACTTGGAAAACTCTGGCATAACAAGGGGAATAGAAACATATCTAGATTGTTGAAAGCTCAAAGGAGTTCCCAGGAACACAGTCCGGTCCATCATTAGAAAGTATGAAGAATAGTAAACCACTCAGACTCATCCTAGAGCAGGTTATCCTCTGAAACTTTGCAACAGAGCAAGAGGGACCTTGGTCAGAGAGGTAAAGAATAACCACACTGAGAAAAATACAGACTTCCACGGATGAGATGGGAGAAACGGCCCAGAGAACAACAAACTCTGCAGAGAAAAAACATTGACCCCAAGCATATACTATACACAAAATATGAGCCTAAAAACGTTACACCCTCATTTTTAAGATCACTTGTAAATTCATCCGCTTCACTAATGTATTTTCTTGAGGCAACTTTTCAGCAGAAAAATGTGATTAGCATGGTTTTTAAATGACCATGCAGTTCAGACCAGTCTAGACCAGGCTTAGGATTACAAGACCCATCCAGTTTTGACTTTATTGATACTTCTGGGCCTATACTTAAAATGACAAAGATTGCTTCAATAATGCATCTTCTTTAGGCAAATTTTCAATTTTCAAAACGCAATTAACGTGGTATTTAAATGACCATGTATTTCAGGCCAGTCTAGGTTTAGGATTACAAGAACTATCCAATTATGATACTATTTATACTTCTACCACCACTTGAAATGACAAAATAGAGAGATTTTACCCAATGGAACACATTTTCTTCACACTTATTTTGACTCACTCTTGGAATTACAATTCATGAACTATTCAATAAACTCTAAGCAGCCAAATGTATCCAAAAGAAAATAATTCAAGTTGCATGAAAAGTATTACTCTTCCTTAAGTTCACTTGGGCCCCAAAATACAGCCATGAGATAAAAAAATATCTAAGTACCATGGGATTGATAACCCTAGCAGGCTATTAAACTGAGCAATTCTCTCAACAGTCTATGAACTCTGTATACAGCAGATTTGAAAATGTTCCTTACTACACAAAATATAAGCCTAAAACAATTCTCTTGAAAAAAACTTTTTTCATGTTTCATTATTAGCAAAATTTTCAATCAGCTCAAAAACACTTTTTGTATTTCAGTCCAGCCTATGGTTTGGGTTAGAATAACTATCCAGTTTTGACAGTCTATACTTTTACTTCCACTTGAAACAACAAACTAGAGAGAGTTTAACCAACGGAATGGGTTTTCTACCCATTTTTACTTCGACTCACTTTTGGAATGACAAATCCTGAACTATGCAATAAACTAAGCTGCCAAAGCTATCTGAAAAAAAAATCGAAGTTGGGTGAAATTATTACTCTCTTCATTTCACTTGGGCCCCAAAACACAGGCATGTATTTAAATTTTTTTTAAGTACTGTAGGAATCCGAACCCAACACTAGCTGGTTTTAAACAGAGCAATTCTCCAAACAGTCAATGAATGCTGCATTCATCAGATTTGAAAATATTCCTTACTACACAAAATATGAGCCTAAAACAATCAATTCCATTGAGAAGAGCTCTTGTACAGTACATGCATTTGCTCCAATAATGTATCTTCTTTAGGCAAATTTTCAATCTGCTCTTAAAAAACGCTGTTAACATGGTATTTAACAACTACACCTCCTCTTGCTTAGAAAGTCTTATGCTGTTACCACATGGTATACTTACAACAGAAGCTGCTGTGAATGTTAGTCTGCCCACATATGGAGCAGAAACCCTGATCAGTTATCATACATAGGATTTAATTATTTTATAATGCTCAAAATTATTATACCAAAATATGAGATACCATTAACATTTGTCTCTAGCCCACTTAAACACTGCCAGAATAAAAAAGAAGCAAACAAAATGAATTTGATTAAATTAAATTGTTAAATGTTTGATTTTGGTTTTTTTTAGGTTTAACCTTAACCTTAATGACCTATTCCAAAAGGAGAGTTACAGTACATAAAGTATGTTATTGAACAGTTAGGTGAGTGATGTCACTGTAACAGAATCAATGAACAGCATGCACATCTGTGCAGAATTTAGGAAGTACTGCTCTACTCCAATCAGGATTCAGTCATAGCCACTCATGGAATCATCTTGCTTCAGAATAGAACAGCATGTAATGTACATCTCAGACAGGGGAGAATTTGGCAATGCCAAATGGACAGGCCTCTCACCTAAGGCAAGACTTATTATACACTAAGATCTAAGTGTTATTAATATTTTTTCTTTTGCCTTGCCAAAGCAGCTTTGGCATCATTGTAAAAACAGAAATGTGGCTGAAGAGGGCAAAAGCTTCAGTAGGAACTTCAAAAATCATCAAGAAACATTTGGCCAACTGATCTTTGAGTATAAAAACTTTATTTTTCACACCATAATGCTCAAGAGTTAAAGTATTAATCCAAATACATTTGATAAAGTATTTAATGATAATAAATGCATATTTACTTGTCTTTATATGAATGTGAATGATTGATTTAATTGTAAGAAAATGACAAACTACGAGGAAGACAATAACTCTTGTTAAAGATGATATTTTAACTCTTGTCTTTGTAATCCCTAGGTGTATGGTCAGCCTTTCGTGTCACGGCAGATTGATTCACAGATACTGTATATGCTATTACTCATGTTGGTTTGTTTTGCATGTTTTGGTGTCATATCAATATATTGTATATTGTATATTTAGAATCTGTGAGTGAGAAAGTAAATCATTATGTTTAACTGATTCCTAACAGTCATCAAAGTGGGGTGGTCAGCTTCTGTGAAAAGCACAGTAGCAAATGAGCCCTGTGATACAAGGAAAGACAAAATTACTTACTTTCTGGTATAGACAACAAAAATAAGAAATTTGAAGTGTAATAAAATCAAAATCCTAATATTTATGTATCACCTAAGGACAGAGTACTTAAAAAATATGTCCATGGAATATTGCATATTTAAGATTTTAACTAAATTTATGTTGTAAAAATTAATATCATTTGTGAACAATAGTAGTATCAGAAATAAATGTACATAATAAGTACATAATAATTTAATAAACTGCCAAACAAACCATTGAGATAAATATTTCCAGATTTTGTATACAACAAGCTTATACTATAAATGTATGCCTCTGTAAAACCTAGCTAAGAATTTCATGTGAAATGTCTTGCAAGTAATTCAGATACAACTAAAATGACACCTCAACATTTGCTGCAGTCAGCTCCTTAATTCACTGTCACAAATTGTGAAACAAGTAGTTTTTCCTCAAAAGTCATATTAGTTTTAATAATTTCATAATGTTGTAATATCCCCAATACATTTATGACAAGTGCAAAGTTGTCTCAGAAAGATAATAATTTGTCAGTATTTTTGAGGATGGCTTCAGAGATATATGTGATGAATGATGGATGTCTTAGCACATTGACAAGTGAGGAAGCAAAAGTAGCAGGGTAAAAGAGGTGTTCTATGACCATGACTATTTTTCAAAGCCAGAGTTAGAGGTCTTGCGATGGTACAGTGCATCTATGCTTTCTACGTCTGTAACACAGAATCTGTGCCTTTTAATCCCACTGCAATCTTATTTATCCATTATTTATTGTTGTTATTATTATTTTATATGACTCATTCTTTTAACCAAAATAGGTACCTTAGGACTTTATACAGCTGACCATTTTAATGAAGCAATATGAGTAACATGCCTTCCTAAAGACCTTGCCCCTTCTGGACTTTTTCCAGGGCTGAGTCCAGACCCCAACCACTCCTCCACACTGATGGCTCCCTATTCTGCATATTAGTTTGGTTCTGCATGTTAGCTTGCTATTTATAGTCTGCAAATATGGTGTTATGTAAATGGTAGAAAGTAAAACAGAGGACACCTTTGTTGTAAGACGTTTTACTATGTATTAAGTTAACAAGTACTTACTGTTAGTACAGCATGATATGAAATGTTTATATTTAGTCTATTTTGCCTTGTAC